AGTCAATTTACAAATTGCATGCATTCCAAATTAATACGGTACAACAGGCAAATGTTTGGCAGACCGTCTGTGTCAATGAGTGAACGTTTATAATTTTGAACCTAAAATATGCGAGAAAGCCCTCCATTTAATTTTCACTTCAGAACAGAAAATTCAATGCATCTGTATGGAAGAACAAGAGTGCTCAACTCAGAAGAGAAAACAATGTCTCCTAAGGGGTCAATCGAACTTTATTTAGGGGAACCAGTCAGGGTAGTCACAATGCGTTAGTTGGTAGAGATTCTCATCACGTAGAGCTTGGATATATCAAATGACACTCTGTATGCAGTACGTGTTTACGCGTCAGGGTGCAGCGGGGCAGCTTGTACGTATCAGTTTCTGAAAGGAGATGATGACTGTGTGTAGATTCATTGTCACAGCAGTGGTTCTTGCTCCAGGTAACAACCGATACTAGACAGGGTACAGGCAGTCAATCCTCAACAGACAAGACAAAGTATGGTCCAATCCATCACCTGATGAAGATTATCGAAATAAGAGCGCTGTTGGGGCCAATCATTGGTCATCATTTCCATTGACAAGAGCCTGGAGATGTTGGGAGGTCTTGGCGCAGAGAATTGTGATCTCCCACCTCCCATTTGCTATTTCTATCAGCTTCTCCTCCGTCATTTACAACTGCTGGGAGAGGCAGGGGCAGGAATTGCACACATCCCGCTCGGTTTAAAGGAGAGTAAACTTATGTGTACATATCTACTCCTTCAGGCATCAGGTGATTGTTTGCATGGCCTGCGCAAAGGTGACTGAAGGAGTATTTCCCAGACTCTGTGAGGGTTGGCCTACCATTCCTTCTGGACGGCAGATGGGGTACAGTGACACTTACTCAAGGAGCTGGGGCATGACAGGAGGAACTGTCCCACCGCAAAGTGCATCAAAGATTCACCAGTGGCCTGCTGGTGGCACTGCCGCTCCTCGTGCCCCAAAGGTGACACACAGAGTCTCTCAAGAAGGGCCCGAGGCGGAGGTCACCGTTATGGCAGCCTCTGACGGGGAGAGAGATGTGTATCCGGCCGGAAAGAAGGCATGGAGAATGACCAGAGTCGTGACAGCTGCCCCATTGTATGTGTCCCTTTGTGCCTGGAACGGGGTGCTTTGAGTCGGGGCTTGGGTTTGGGATCTCAGCCCAACCCACCCTGGTGCTAGAGTGCCCTATGGCTGCACTTGCATAGCCCTGGAGCGAGAACGCTGACAACAATCTCCTGTCCCGTATTGGTTTAGCACAGTAGCCCTGATCTCTGCATACCTGAGTCCCTCGTCCTATTGGGACAGATTCAACAACAGAATGAGATAATATAAAAGTCAAGTCATGACAGGGAACAAAAAACGTGGCTGAAAAGGCAATTAAAGGTTCCCTGTGAGAAATTGAAGTGCATCAAAAAGAGCCCGGAAGAACGCGAGGAAAGTCCCCAAAAGAAAAAAAATTCCCAACCAAACCCTCCTACGTCCAAAGTCTAATATCCCAGAGCC